TCCAGGCTATGTACATCCGCAACATCCCGATTATGTCTGCCGCTTACATAAAGCTTTGTATGGTCTCAAACAGGCTCCACGTGCCTAGTACCAACGGTTTGCTGTATACATTTCCTCGCTCGGTTTCAAGATCAGTCTCTCTGATAGCTCTCTTTTCACCTTTCACCGTGGACATGAAACAATATATCTTCTTCTTTATGTTGATGATATTGTTCTCACTACCTCTAGTCCATCACTCATCACGTGAGTTATTACCCGACTCTCCAATAAGTTTGCCATGACGGACTTAGGACCGTATCTTTCTTTCTCGGCATTTCTGTTGCACGCACTTCCACTAGTCTTTTTCTCTCACAGAAAATTTTTGCAAGAGAGATTCTTGCTCGCGCTGACATGCTCTCTTGTAATCCGTGTAGCACTCCGACGGACACAAAATCTAAGCTTTCTTCAGAAGGAAAGCCAGTCTCTGATCCGACCTTGTATCGAGGTCTTGCAGGTGCATTACAGTATCTGACTTTCACTCGCCCTGATATTGCGTATGCTGTTCAGCAGGTCTATCTCTTCATGCATGACCCACGTGAACCTCACTTCTATGCTCTCAAAAGAATTTTACACTACATCCAGGGTACTATAGGTCATGGTCTGTACATTCGTCCGTCTAATGTCGATCGTTTGGTTGCGTATTCTGATGCTGACTGGGCCGGGTGTCCCTCGACACGCCGGTCCACCTCTGGGTTTTGCATTTATCTTGGGGATAATCTTGTTTCATGGTCTTCAAAACGTCAACATGTTGTATCGAGGTCTAGTGCCGAAACCGAGTATAAGGGGGTAGCTAATGTTGTCGCTGAAGCCTCTTGGCTTCGCAATCTTTTACTCGAGTTGTCTTGTCCCTTAACTCGTACTACTGTTGTGTTTTGTGACAATGTGAGTGATATGTATTTAGCATCTAATCCAGTTCAACACCAACGAACCAAACATGTGGAAATAGATTTACATTTCGTTAGGGAACGTGTTGCCATTGGTCAGGTTCGCGTTTTGCATGTTCCATCTGCACACCAGTTTGCTGATATATTTACAAAAGGACTTCCTACACAGTTATTTATAGATTTTCGTAACAGTTTAAGCATTCGTGAACCTCCCGCTCAAACTGAGGGGGAGTTTTAGTTAACTATTTTTTCTATTGATGTATAGTGTAGGTATATATTGATAGTATAGGGTCCTCATTGTAATATAATATAACTGGTGTATTATTTATACGTATGGAATGCATTGGAAACCCTAACGGGTATTTTCACAAACCAACAATATCATTATAGTCCACTCTAAACTCAGCTAATTCTTCAGGAGTAGCTTTTGTTTTATCAATCTCGAGAAGTTCCTTTTCGAGCACATACTCTTTGTCCTCGAAATGAAGAGCCATTTTGATTTTTTGCATCCAATCATTATAATTGGTTCCATCAAAGGTAACCCTCAAGCAGATGTTCCAAAGTGAGAAGTTATTGTTGGACGAACCAGAAGCATCGTTGGGATTCGATATCTACAGAAGAAAGGACAAGTTTTGATTAGACAAGAATAATCCTTGATATAACACCCAAATGAAATATCAAGGCTAGGATCCAACTAGATAATTCACAACTTAGAAAAGGGATGCCATAATCTAATTGTAAATTATTTAAAGGTATGTAAATGACGATTTACCAATTTCACCACGAAAAACGAAATTTGAACGAATTAGGTTTTATAATGAAATTCCTAGATCTTTTTAGATTTATTGAACTATTCAATGACATGTTTAATCTCGATTATGCTCTACCATTTGTGACTGGGATACCAAGGATCACAAACAAGATGTGAATAACCATGCAAATTAGCTTGGTACTCTCGATGTCATTTATCATCTAGTTAATGTGCTGGTTAGCCACACACACTCCATCAATCAATGATAATTTACGAGACACCCATTGCCACCCTTTATTAGTCCATATTAGTGTGCCGGTTAACCACACACGCTCCACTAACGACTTATATAAAGTGCAATGTGCAATTTCATGGATTAGCATCAAATTCACATTTTTCCTAGAGTAACTAAGATTAAGAATTTAATAAAAAAACATTTAGTTACTTTATGATTCATTATAGTTATTAATGAGGATGATTTTTTCCTATCAAACTCGTTCGGCTAACGACCCTCCACCAATCAAGGAAGCGGTGGGTGAGAGTGACACTCATTCAACTACCATTTTATAGGTAGTTTCCTTATACCCCCATTATAGATCGGTTTCGTGAATGAGACGTACTAGCGGTTCGAATGACTTTTCTTATACATATAGTAAATATTAAACTTTTAATTTTACATATAGTATAAGGTGTATTTTTAAAATTTTAAAATACTAGGGTTCTTTAATTTTATAAATTCCGAAATGAAACAATTTAATTTAATTTAAAATTTAACCCCCCTACCACCACCAAAAAAAATTGACATTAATTATTAAGTACAATTAATATTCAAATTAATAATTTTAAACATTTAAAAAACCATGGGGGTACAATTAATTATCAAGTACAATTATTAAGAATGTGTCTCAATTGTTGGTTATGAACTTAAAGCTTAAGGGTTTAAGAGTTTATGGACTAGCATCTACATCAAGTTGAGTCATTGTTGGTGTCTCAAAGGTTCCACATTCTTCATCAACTTCCAAGCCTCCCAAGAGGACCCAAAGAACAACAAAGGTTGTTATAAAATGTTTAATCTTTCTATACCTTGCAAGGAGATCCTTGGTGGGTATAAAATGTTTATGTTATTTCAAAATTAAAGTCTTCCGTTGTCATAATTTTTCTAGTTTATAAAACTATTTTTGAACTAGAACCCAACACATACAATATCTGATCAACTATTGGGAAACCCTAGGAACCATATGTTATGTCGAAATCTACAATAAAGAGTAGTAATCATACCTTTAATTGTTATGTAGTAATAACAATGTGAATCCAAGAGTTCTTGAAGCTTGAGAGCAAGTGTCACAAGTGTAACACCTCTAATGGCTCACACCCAAACTAGGCAAGAGGATGAGAGAGGAGAGAGGAGGAGATGGATTGAGAAATTCGACTTCTTCTCTAGGGTTTCTGGTAGCTGAAATTATGAAGGGGTAAAGCCCTTTATAAAGTTGAGGTAACTTAGAGCCAAAGCTAGGTTTTAAGGAGGAAACCTTAATCCCTTAGCTTAAGGACTAAGCAGCACATAGACTTCCCATCCAAGGCCTTTGGACGAAAATTCTAGGGCCTTCCTAGAAGTTTTCATCCAACCCTTTTAGGGAGGTTCTAGAGCCTCTTTCCTCAACTATCAACAAATTGCTAAACAACCACTACACTTTTAATTAATACAATTAGTCCCAAAATTAATTCCAATTAATTTCTGATTTAACTATTAATTAAATAATATGATTTCTAATTAATATATTATTTTCATAATACATTAATAAATCATTTACTTCAATTTATTATTCAAATAATAAATATAACCTCTCTCTCCAAAATTCATCATGTCTAGTTGCTAGTATGAGGGCAACCCAAAAAGACTGTGTTACTATCAATTCAAATACATATCAATTATAGTTATGGGCTTAAACACCTAATCCAACAGTATTTGTATGAAAGACCATAGGGGTAGCCCATGGCAATTGCATGAAAGACTATGGGGGTAGCCCATGCCACTTGGTTGTAAGACCTTAGGGGTAGCCAATGTCATTCCAAGGAAAGACCATGGGAGTATCCCATGACACTTGGTTGTAAGACCCTGGGGTAGCCCATGGCATTCCAGGGAAGACCATAGGGGTACCCAATGACACTTGTATGTAAAACCATGGGGGTAGCCCATAGCAATGTATGTATGTTATGTGGTATTTTGGGGAACTCACTAAGCTTTGTGCTTATGGTTTATGTTTAAAATGTTTTTCAGGTACTTCCGGTTCCAAGGGGAAGAACTCGACATGAATGCATTACATCCACTAGTGTTCTGCCTTTAATAAAATGATTTGTACTATGATAACTATTTTATACATTATCATACTTGATGGGTTTTTGAATGAATGATTCATGGTTTTGGTTGACTTAAAAATAAATTTTTTTACTTAGTACTTTTGGGATGTTACAATTATCCTATCAAAAACTACTTGCTTACATTGTCTCCACTCCACCACCCAACAAAGACGTCGACAACCAATCTGTTCTCAATCCCGATTATGTTTCTTGGCATGGTGCGATCAACACGCTGTTCTCATTCTTCAATCTTCTTTATAAAGAAGTTATGGTTAAGGCCTTTGGTCTCACCATCGCCCACAACATTTTGGCGGTTGAGGCTCTCTTAAATTTACCTACAATCATAATTCTATATAGAATGCATGCATTCCTTATGGGATTCCCCGAAAAATTATAGAAAGATCCTATTTAGTTGTTGAATTTAGTCGTAAATTTAAAACCATTTGTGATTAACTAGTCATTGTTGGCCATCATGTTAAAAAGATTGATAAATCTCATTGATTTCTCTATGATCTTGGATCAACCTCGAGACCTTCTCAATTGCATACCGAGCCCTCAACTACTCCCTTCCTTTTGTGACATTGTCTTGCAAGCCGAAAGTCACAAACTTTTTCTCACCTTAATGCATAGTAATGCACCTCCTACGACATGCTTCACATTTCAAATTTCGAAACCAAAGACCATTTCGATCAATCTTATTTTTGAACACTGTTTGAAAATTACAAGTCAATTTTGAAATTTATGATTTAATTTTCGAAAGTGAAATTTTGTAAAAAACATAGTCATGATCATGGGCAGTTTTGTTATGGTATCCGTAGTGAAATCGGCAACGCCTAACTTGTCGTATAAAAATTTCGATTTTCTTTAATACTATTGTGCTTGTATCCCTACTATAAAATTCTGCTTGCACCCTCGTCATGATTATTACGTCATACCCAATTTTTTTGAGTTCCATACCTCGAAAATAAAATATATTATTGTAAAGAGGGCTACCAACCCCAAGGAAGACCCAACAAGAAAAATGAAGCCTTCTTCCGCATTAAAACCAGTTGCACTCCTCGTATTCACTTTCTCCATCACCATTTTCACAATACTCCTCTCTTCTCCTTCTCAAGCAACCATCGATTCGAAATCAATGGCCTCTCGAAGCTTCATCTTATGGCTACACGGTCTAGGTGACTCCGGTCCAGCCAATGAACCCATCAAGACGCTCTTCACCTCGTCTCAGTTCGCCAACACTCGTTGGTCTTTCCCTTCTGCTCCATCTCAACCTGTTACCTGTAATTGTAAGTCCCCGTTACTAATAACTAACTCATTCCGAATTTTAACTATGATTTGTTGATTTTCGGTTATGGATCACATGCGAGATTAACGCATATTTGTAGAATTTAGGGTTTCTTTTTTTGTTTCCCTGATGAAAAAGTTCCGATTGTTGATGTTCATGTGACATATTAGTAAAATACTAACTTACCAACTTCATCTGTTACCTGTAAATTGTAATTGTTAAAAACACACGCACAAACACTCAAATTTAGCTGTAATTACTATTCCTGATGGTGCCTAATGAGCTTCCGATGACTCCATTGAGGATACTCTAACAGTAACAAAAGCTTTGCTTGTAGAATCGGAATATCGAAGTGAAGAAGATACAAAAAAGAATATACAATACCATTCTAATAGAGGTATAATGAGCTATAGATCATCATAGTATGCTCAATAGATTATCTCATGTATCAAAGATGACTATAACATTTTATCGGGTTTCATAGTTATTGATATATTTTTCTTGTGGTTTCTTCTAGTTCTATTCTTACCCCAAAAGAGTTATAGATGTCTAGTTTTTTAGGATTCAAAATTGAAAATTGTTTATTGGGACTTTGATGTAAAACAGTTGTAATAGATTTAGACTTAGGTTCTGTTTTTTATTATCTTATGGACTTAATGGGGACACTACTTAATCCAGTAAGCTATACATGAGTGTTTCTCTGACTTAATGCAGAAAGAATGATTTAATAAAGACAGTGGAGGAAACGAGGCTTTTCCCAGTAAATTATTTACAAAGTTGTCCTCATTTCTTTTTCTTTCTGTTTCTCCACGAATGCTGTCATTCTCTTATATCTTAAATATCATGTACATTTATAGAGCACATTACATAGACATCACTTTTTATACTAATATAGTAATATGATATCTTAACTCTATACTTTGCAGATGGTTCAGTGATGCCTTCATGGTTTGACATTCACGAGATACCTATAACATCTGTAAGTTAACTTTGTTGATTTGTAATAAATTTAAGCTGTTTCTAGATAACTAATGTTGATATTCTATAATACTTTATATTATAAATCTGCATATGATGGAATATGGTTAGTTACATTACATAAGTGAAATTTGGATGTATATATGGTAAACTTTAAACAAAAGAAGTAGAATTAAAAATACCTATTGGGCTTCTTTTCATAAGCAGGGAGTCGATGTTAAATTTGCATTGTTTGACTTTGCATGTAGTTAAAGGAAATTGTGATTATTTTTTGTCAAAATCTAAATTACCCTTCAATAACGTGGACCAAAGAAATACCATTGAGATTCATTTGCAAGGATGAAGATGGGCAAATAAGTCATTTTAACATATGAAATGTACAGAGTTCCCCTACGGATGAAAGTTCGTTGCTTAAAGCAGTTCGGAATGTGCATACGGTGATTGACAAGGAGCTGGCTGCTGGAATTGACCCTAAGAATGTGTTTATCTGTGGATTCAGTCAAGGAGGTCTCTCTCTCTCTCTCTCAAAAAAAAAAAAAAAAAAAAAAAAATGTGGGGAATAATAGGAACATTGTTATAAAAATGTTGCAGGGGCGTTGACCTTGGCTAGTGTTCTGTTATATCCAAAAACACTTGGAGGGGGTGCAGTTTTTAGCGGATGGGTTCCTTTTAATTCAACTACTTTAATTGAACAGATCACGCCAGAGGCCAAAAGGGTATTATTATATTATATATATGTTTTTTTTTTTAATCACAAAACAAACTGGTGATGTAATATTGCATTTATGAGTTAGTTATACACAAACATAAGCAGTACAAAACAGTTTGTACTGTGTTTGACATCTATCGGACTGGAGACAAAAACTGCAAATATTTGTCCCGCCCAAAAAAGTGGGACAGGGACTTATGTCAATGGAACAAAAAATAACACCTAAAAAGGCGGAATAGGGATTGGTGTGAATGGGACAAAAATTCACGTAAAAAGATGTTTTAGGTGGGACCCTGGGACAGAGACTGGTATCAATGAGACAAAAGTTGCAATTTTTAATGTCAATTTGTCCCGCCAAAAAAAGGTGGGACATGTTTTCTCAGCTATGGAAAAGACATGAATGCCCTCTTGTTTATGTGGGTGGAGTGGATGGAGTAGTGTTGATTGTAGGTACTAGGAAAATTTTACTAGTTTGTGGTTATAATGAGGTATTTGGTTTTATGTGTAGACACCAATATTGTGGTCGCATGGTATAGCTGATGGAACAGTGTTGTTTGAAGCTGGACAAGCGGGCCCACCATTCCTTCAACGGGTTGGCATTAATTGTGAATTTAAGGTACTACACTTTATGAAAGTTAACTTGAAAAATCTACCCGATTAATTAAAATTATTAAATGGCTTAGTGAGAAAAAAGTTGAATTTAAACAAGTAGCTCATAGTTGTTATAATGAAATGAAACAACAGGCTTATCCGGGTCTTGCCCATTCAATAAACAATCAGGAGCTCCAATACTTGGAATCATGGATCAAATCTCGTTTACAAACAACTTCCTCCTCCAACTAGAAAACAAAAAAACAAACAAAGCTTAAGATTTATTATATTTCCCCTATACACGGAAGACTGCTTCTTCTGAATGGTGATGTGGGTTCTTCTTCGAATATTGTTTGGAAGTCCAAATCCATTTAGATCTTTGAATTTGCGAAATCTTTTACAACTTAACAATTTGTGGACGATGAATTTGTGATATTGATTGGACACAATCCAAATCAGAATAAATACACTCTCAACAAATAATCTGTTATGTGATTGATTGATTGATTTCTGTAATGATCTTGTAGCTGTTTGCTTTTTTAGTTGCACAAAACTTGATATTACTACCAGTGTTTCTTTTACTTACTACCACAAAAAGAAGAATGACCTAACCTAACATAAGTTGTAACTTGCTTTACTTTAATGTGCTATCGTTATTTCATATATACTTATAAAACTCATGTATTCATAGCATATTGTTATTGCCAACATCATCGCTTTTGGCACTATCGTTATTCATAGTGGCCTTTGTTTTATACAAGGGTACTCTTTCTTTCACTTTCACACAAATGGGGAATTAACTGTTAGGTTCTTTGATGTAGTTGAATAAAATCATATGTAGAAGTTTTATATGTAATCGTGAGAATAAACATGCTTTAGATGCCATATACGGTTATACATCTTTATTCTTTTCTTATTGTATAAATGGCAACCACATGAAGTCAATAAGACGACATATGTTTGTACGAGTACTAGTGGCGAATCTATGATTTTATTTGTAAAATGAGTATCTAACTTAACTGAAGTTACAAAATAAACTCGTCGAAAAAGTTTGGTTAAAATTTTACCATCTATGGCAAGTTATAATACCAAATATCAAACATCATTTTATAAATATTAATCAATGCCTTACAATTGTTCACTAGTTTTTATATTTTTGAAAACCATTTACAAGTATAGCGTTGCTAACAGGGATGAGATTTAGAACCGGAAAACCGGACCGGAACCGGAATATGTAAAACCGGTCCGGGTCTCGGGTTTAAAAAATGGCTCTATCCGGGTTCCGGGTAATCCGAGTTTCGGGTCCGGGTAAACCGGGTTTAAGAACCGGAACCGTATTAGGAACCGGAACCGGTTTTAGGGGCCGGAACCGGTTTCTATGAAAAGTTTAAAACATTCATATCTCATTCGTTTGAAGTTGGATTGACATGAGGTTTTTTCCATAGTATAGTTTATAATTTTAGACTATAATTTTGTCATTTTTGGGTTTATATTCATTGACTTATAGTCTCTCAAAGTCGGGATATCAAAGCTGGAAATTTTATGTTTTTCAGCTTTTTTTTGTATTCTGTGATAGTTTTAAAACATGCATATCTCATTCGTTTAAAGTCGGATTGACATGATGTTTTTTCCATAGTATAGTTTATAGTTTGTACATGATTTTAGACTATAATTTTGTCATTTTTGGGTTTATATTCATTGAATTATAGTCTCTTAAAGTCGGGATATCAAAGCTGAGAATTTTATGTTTTTCAGCTTTTTTTATATTCAGTGATAGTTTTAAAACATGCATATCTCATTCGTTTGAAGTCGGATTGACATGAGGTTTTTTCCATAGTGTAGTTTATAGTTTGTACATGATTTTAGACTATAATTTTGTTATTTTTAGGTGTTTATTGATTGACTTATAGTCTCTCAAAGTCAGGATATCAAAGCAGAAAATTTTATGTTTTTCAGCTTTCTTTGTATTTTGTGATAGATTTAAAACATGCATATCTAATTTGTTTGAAGTCGGAATAGCATGCATTTTTTTCCAAAGTGTAGTATAGAGTTTGTACATGATTTTAGAGTATAATTTTGTCATTTTTGGTTTCATATTCATTGATTTATAGTCTCCCAAAAGTTTGGATATCAAAGCTGCGAATTTTCTTTTTTTTCTCAGCTTTATTTTTGTATTTTGTGAAATTTTAAAACATGCATTCGACCCACTTTACCCGGTTCCCCGGGTTTTTCAGTTTTAGACCCACTTGACTCGGTTCCATTCGACCCACTTTAATATTTCCGGGTTTTCCGGTTCTAGACCCACTTTACCCGGTACCTTACCCGGAACCGGTTCCTATATACTGGTCCGGTTTCCGGTCCTAAAAAATCTTGTTAACCGGTTCCTGGGTTTTCCGGGTCCGGGTCTACCGGTCCGGGTTTGGACTCACTCTCATCCCTAGTTGCTAATATATCTAACATATATTTTCTCAATATATAAAACCATACAGTTTTTCATATGTTCATCACTCTTATTATTGTGCAAATTGTTCTTTACCATCTTCATTGTTTGCACGCTCCATTGTAGACATTGATATGTGTAAAATCAATACAATTATATTGATTTCAATTGCATATATACCATTGGATATATAACATGTTTGCTTGTTTCAAGTCTTTTAATCAATATTCTGATCGATATGTATCATAGCCTAAAATTGTGTGTTTATCCAAACATTATCATATAATATCTAAATTTATGTCCATGGAGACACGTTCTTGTCAAAGTAGATTGTGCATTTGCTGATTTTTGGTATGCTCTTTAAGTAAATAAGAGATGAATTTTAGCGTTTCGAATTTCTCAGAGTTACCTTCAAGATTTACAATTAAAACATTCTTCAAGCTACATAAATTCTTGAAACTGATTTCGGCATTCTAATATTTTTTGTGAAATCATCAGAAAATTTAATGTTGTATGTATATTCTAAAATGCTTGACACTTGTAGGTTCCTATATACCTACACCAACCCACCTCAAAGCTCACGTGAGATGTCAATTATAGAACAATAGCAATATTTTAGGCGTGCAATAATTGAAACCTTGAAACTATTGTGTAGAATTTTGCACCTCAAAAGTGTTTGGGAGTGATTTTTAATCTTAAAAGTAAAAAATTACAAATGTACCCCTTTAACTACCCTAATAATTATCATTTTTTGTCATTTTGCCCCTAAAAAGCTAAGTCAAACATTTTTTTAAAATCAATTTATTGACATTTTTGTTATTCCCACCATAAAAGCTAACCCAAATGATTTTTAAAAACATATTTTCCAAAAAGCTATAAGTCAATAAAGATTTTTCCCTAAAACAATTTTGAGATTAAAAAACACTCCTAATCACCTCGTTTGTGGCTTTTTGAAACTGTCATGTTTTGCCTACCAAAAAAACCTTTTGAAAAGTCATTTCGAACAACCAAAACATTTTTAAACTAACATTCGCAAACACTTATGCTAAGAGTACATATTAAAATTAAAATATAATGCTAATACCGATAATGCTAGTCCATTTTTTATTTTTTTAACAAAAAGTGAAAATTTTAAACAAACCTCGTTGATCATTTTTGCAATTTTGTAGGAGTATTATGTTATTGAAGAAGTCGGTATCAAAAATAAAAGGCGTTAGTTTGGAGGGTCGAAAACTGTCGAAGAAAACTGCAAAAGTCCATATTTTTGTAGTCAACTCAACTCCCATTAAAAGTTAAACCCAGTTGTCCATCATCGTTTGTACAATTAATAGTCTTCTTTCTCCTTCCCGATCAATCAATGGCGTCTCGAAGTTTCATCTTATGGCTACACGGTTTAGGTGACTCTGGTCCAGCCAATGAATCAATCCATCATCAAGACCTTCTTCACTTCGCCTCACTTCGCCAACACTCGTTGGTCTTTCCCTTCTGCTCCACCTCAACCTGTTACCTGTAACCGTAAGTCCCAATCACCAATCAACTAACTCATCCTTTGATTTGTTGCTTTTCGGTTATTGATCATATGTGCGTCTTACGCATATCTGTCTGATTTAGGTTTTCGATCGTTTTTCTTGCTTTCATTGTAAATCCCAAATTATAATTTCTTGTTTCTGATAGTGCCTGATCATAGTTTTGTCGTCTATCTAAAGTCATTATCTGTTTATCATCTTTCAATTTCGTAGTGATTTCTTATGAGAGGTAGAATTTGTGTTTAAAAGTGGATAAGCCAATTAGCTAATATGCATTTGTCATGTGATATCTTAAATCCAATCTTTGCAGGTGGTTTTGTGATGCCTTCATCGTTTGACATTCAGGAGATGCCAATAACAGCTGTAAGTTAATTTCGTTATAATCTAGGGAAAGCTGTTTTTTAGGTAACTAATGTTGATACTTATATTTTATAGTTAGATATAATCCTAATCCTAATACTAATAAATGAATCCTTTCTGCCACGTGTCACTACCTCTTTGCCATTCCATATGAAAGTTAAATTACCTTCCTACCCCTAATCCTTATGTCATACAACTTTTTGTTTCATTCGAGCAACATGAATTCCAATCTTTTTTATCCTTCACCCATAATATCTAATTGCATTGACCAATAAAAATCCATTTAAATTAGGAACTAATAAAGGAGTAAATGATAAATAATATATTAGCCATATATCAATTGATATCCCTTGACATCAGCTGTTGGTTTAAATTCATATTTCAAATTTGAAATTTTGTATCAATATTTCCGGAAATTATCTTTAATATGTAAAACAATAATATACTTTACTCCTTTTATTTAGTCACTATATATTATATTCAATTCAATGAAATTCAATAACCATATCCTATTCATCACATAAACTGTCTCCTGTGTATCAAAAATATTCTTCTCCGGTACATGTTTTTTTGCTTTTGGTGTTTTGTATTTGTGTGTATGTGTTTTTGTGTCATTGCGGTTGGTTGTTTGTTTCTATTGTTTTTTGTTACTACTGTTGTTATTTTTTTTCCTTCACCACAGAAACATTCTACATCACAAAAAACAGTTACCTTATTACCTTATGATTCCTAAGTTCCAACTAATTATTTATTTGTTGTCTTTTTCGAAATAGAGTTTTCATTGCAGAAACCCACAAAATAATATTATAAATAATTTTGGGTACTTTTCGAAATAGAGTTTCCAACTTCAAATTTAATATTTTATGCCTATTTATTTTTTGACCAATTATTCATTAACAATTAAACATATAATATAAAAACTCTAAGAATGTTCACCGGCATTATTTATTGTATAAATTGCTAATTTTTTACAATTCAAATAATATTTATTATACTGGTGATGCTAAAGACAATAGAAAATTTAAAGAACTATATTTGAACAACATAAAATCTAATAAAATGTCTGCAACATCAAACGATCAAAGTTCATTTACACAGGTCTTTATATACATGTAGTTTTGTTACATTACCTCATTTTTCTTATTTAAAATTTCATTTTATTACCATGTATGATTGTCATTCTTTATTTTGACTTTTTCAAAATTTATTTTTCTATGTACACTATCATCATTTTCTTATTAATCATCATTCAAATAACATTTATTACAATTTTGAACCATTTGATATAGAGATTGTAGATAAAGATATTGTATCAAAAGAAGCGTTTATAAATCTATCATTTTTTATTATTATCTAAGTTATTCTAATTTGTTACCATTAACATATCAAATGTAAGTTCCAAATTTGCTTGTGTATCAATCAGATCCAATTGATGGTGCGGAATCTCAATCAATTGGATGATGCAAGATCAAAATAAAGAAGAAGGAGAAGAAGAATAATATGAATCTTGAATGTTTTGATGATTAGAATGAAGTTCCTTACACAATATTTATTTTCTCTCTCTAGAACACACCTTGAGTTTCACACACTTAAGCTCATCTAGCCGTACACTCTCACATCCTCTACCATCTAACACCTATATATATATATATATATATATATATATATATATATATATATATATATATATATATATAAGGCACATGGTCCGTGAACAGATTCACGGCCGTGAACCAGTTCACGGTCGTAAACACCCATCAGGCCGTGAATACATTTAACCCCACACACCACATGGACCGAAAACCCAATAGCCTAGAAAAGCAAAGTATAAACCATATTTTAGACCCAACAATCTCCCCCTTGGTTTATAGCTTTCTTTTCTTTTGACCCAACAAACTCCCCCTAAAAATATAGCTGACTTTTCTTGTCAATCTTCATTGGGAGCTTGGCTTCAGCGTTTATCTTCGATTTCTTCACAGCTTCAAGATGAACTTGATGAATCTTCAATAAATGATTTCATCTTGAGTAGTTGGGTTTTTCTTCAAAATTTGACTCTGAACGCACATTGAGTGTGGAGGCTTCATGTAAAGATTCTTGAAAAATGGCGCTTTCAGCTTGAGAATCTTCAGAGAGAGCTAATCTTCTGGATCACTTCAGCAGGTTCATGAATAGTAGCAAATTGATTGAGGAGACTTCAATGCAATCTGTCACATAATCTTCAAGTCAACTTCACCTTGCTTCTGGGGTTGAAAGATTGAATGTTGAAAGAATAGTCTTCATTTCTTGTTCCTTCGAATGAAAATTCTTCGATGATCACGGACGAAGCCTTGGCTCAGAAAATCTCGATACAGTCTCCATGAGTCTCATCTACATCTGAATTCACTTTTCAAGACAAAACAAAACTAAAAGAAAACTTAGCACACAATATTTTTGGATTTTTTTAATTTTATGAAAAAAAAAAATAAAACAGGAACAAAAACATTTTTGAATTTTTTTTTATTTTTCTGAACAAGAAATAAAACAGAAATAACACTATTTTTGGATTTTTAATTTTCTGATTTTTGTTTGATTTTTGAATTTTTTAATTCTCCCCCTAAATTTGTGCATAGAGGAAAACTATGAACAAATTTAACAAAAACAAAAATAATTGGGATCAAAGTTGTGAGACAGTCTTAACTTTGTTTATCAGTACCTTCACCTTCAGGAATAGATCTGGTCAATTGCCGATATTGCGGTCCACTTAAACACGAAGAATATTGACAAACTTTCCTAAATAAACCATTTAGCTGACGACGATCACGGATATTGTTGTCCACTTAAATTAAGCAGCGAGATCTACAGACAACCTCTAAATGGTTCAATTTTAGTTGCACTAGAACGTGTTCCCCACTTCCCGGTATACCCTGATTATCAAGAACTTCCAAAGAACTCCTTACTTTAGGTGAATAGACAATTAATAAGGAGGAAGTCAAATTTAGAAATAGATACATATGTTGTGTCCCAGGTCGGATCTCTTTCAATCACGCAGAGGGGACAACATATGACTAACAGAGATAGAGGGATTGAGAGGTAGAATGTTGCATATGCTGTGTACCAGGTCGGATGTATTTCAAAATCACGCAGAGGAGACAACATATGGCTCACAAATAGGAAGAATTGCACAGATAAAGAAGATGCATAGAAATAGAGTTGCATATGTTGCATTCTAGGTCGGATCTCTTCCAATCACGCAGAGGAAGCAACATATGACTGACAGATAGAAAGCAAGAAAATAATTTCCTACAGACCTACTTTATCAGAACCCCCCAGTCGCCCTATCAGAACCAGAATTAAGGACATAAGTCCGTACATCAAGGAAAAGTTGAACCACTGTTCTAGATGCGTATTAATTTAGTGTATCTCGTGGGTTCCCGTGTTTATCTCACTGCTCAATCTACCCTAGCGTCGTATGGTCAGTCCAAACAATCCTATCTAAATCTACACTATCAAATCCTTCGTGCCTACCAGCACATTGAACACAGAGTCTAGACAATTCAGATTCAGTCTCTTATACATGTTTAGACTACTCGTTATCATTCTCTTGATATCACTTCCCAACAGACATATAAGAAAATAAAAAATTGTCTTCAAAACGAATCAGTTTAAGATAAACTCAGGAGTATCGAGAAGAAAACTCAAACCATAAGTCACTGATTGAATTTGCATCCAGAAGGTCTGAGAACAGCACGCATAATCTCAGAACAGATCCGAAAATTCTTCACATCGTTAAGCACAAAACCCATGTGTGATCCTTTCCTTTCTTCCTTTTTCTGCAAAGGACACATACTCTCAAACAAAGTTCTGAGTGATGTACAGTTGAGAGATGCCTCCTATCATGTGCCTGTAACAGCCACTATCAACAAACCGAAGTCTGATGATATGCCTCCATAGCTACTCCGACACAGAGCGAGATTAGTTGGTCTTTGGAACCCAATCCATTTTGAAACTGGGTTGACCTTTGTCATCTGTGCAAGGAACTCTCTCACACGACATGTCCTGCTTATCACAAACAGAAGATGAAGATATATTATAGTCATTAGAAGATTTGGGAGATTGAACCTTTGGAACCCATCTGTAGTTGGGTTTAACCCATTTCTTATTCGATCGGTTGGGTGCCTCGGCACTTGCTTTTGAGCTTGAAGTCGGCCGTCGAGATGGCTTTGACCTAACCGGTCTTGGCTTCACTGGAGCATCTCTTGGATTGGACTTCTTGGCCGACATCCCCTTCTTGCCCTTGGGATTTTGATTATTGGCCTTTTGCGCATTCCAGTCGCCATTGTCTGAACGTGACCTTGAGGGGTTTCTTTTGAAAAATCTCCCTCTTGGCGCATTCTGCCATCCTTGTGCGTAATAGGGAATGTATGCGCGATTAGGACAACTTCTGGCAATGTGTCCAGGTGTTCCACAGTGAAAACATGTCTTTTTCTTCACTGGGAAGTTGTTTCTTCCTGCCCCTGGTGGCGTACCATTGTCTCGTTTCTTATTGTTCCCACAAGCACACTTGCAGCAGGCACTCTGTTTAGCTTGAATTGGCGGCCTGTATTTCCCAACAACAGGTTGATTAGAACCAACAGATTCAGAGTTCAAGGAGTCATTTGTTTGTTCAGTAGTGTTCTCCTTGTTCTCATCTTCCACTACTTTTCCTGCACAAGAAGTAGAAACATCAGTATTTTCACCTCAACACCCTCAGTTGGCCCAGATTGTTCAGTCTTAACTGAAACTTGTGCAGGGGGTTGGCCATACTGAAGGTGTGCTTCATTTTCAATTTCTTCCTTAGTTACAGGAGTAAAAGTGTAGTGATCATTGAAAGGAGGTGGAACATCATGATACCCTAGACCCTTGTTTTGATTATCTTTAAATGTTAATTGTTTTTCTATCATGGACACAACTACCTCTCTTGACACATCAAATTTCCTAAAGTTGAATTCAGCATCTTTATATTTGGCTTTTAATGCATCAAATTCGGTAGTCATGTTAGCAAGCTGTTCCTTAGTATATCTTTAATTCACACATTTATTGCTATATTCTTATTGAAGTTTTTGGAAGTCCTTGGTCTTGGCCTCTAGTTGTTCTTTTAATGGTTTCTGGCCTTTCCTAAGTTGGTACCCCTCCCATTTAAGGTCATCTTTTTCTCTTTTTAATAAATTTATTTGTTCACGAAGAAACTTAATCCTAGTTTCACAAGATGGAGTACTTGAAACTTCATTGACCGGAAGGTTTGAAGAACTCATTGTTTTAAAAATACCCTTTGACTATAAACCTAAAAAGTCAACCTTAAAAGTAAAATTTAAAAAAGTCAAACTTGAAAAGTCAAACTTAAAAGTCAAACCGAAAAGCTAAATTTGAAAATTTAAAGGTTAAACGAGAAAGTCAAAGTTTAAAGTCAAAGGTCAAACTTTAAAGCCAAAGTCAAATTTTTAGGTCAAAAGTCAATTTAGAAAGTCAAAAATTAAAAGTTAAAAACTTTGGGTAGAAAATGAAATTTAAAAATAAAAAAAATTGATTTTTGGGCTGAAAGTGTTAAAATTGCGAAAATAGGGTTGAAGTAGCGAAGCTTTATGAATTAAATTGGGAAGGAATGTAGCGTGTGGCAAGCTAGATCAAGTGGAAAGGGCGCTGGACTGTTGAGGTAGAAGACCCTGGTTCGATTCCAGGCAACCCCAAAATATTTTTTAATAAGCGTTGAATGAGAAGAATGAGAAGGAGGTTGCTGAACGAGCAAGTGGGTCGTGAACCTGCTGGCCGAGAACTCCTGCTGGGCCGTGAACTGTCCGAGGGCCGCAAATGAGTTGGGCCGTGAACCCTTCAACAGTTACGAAAAAAAACGACGTTTTTCACCTTTTTAGGCCCAAAACTCGATCAAAAACTCATTTTTATGGGAAATGCAAAGAACAAACCCCCACTATTTTACCAAGAACTACCCAAAAACGCAAAAATCCTTCAAAAATAAGATCAAAAATGCTCCAAATCTGGCCAAAATGTTTGATACAGACCAAGCTCTGATACCAACTGTAAGTCACAAATTTGCTTGTGCATCAATCAGATCCAATTGATGGTGCGGAATCCCAATCAATTGGATGATGCAAGATCAAAATAAAGAAGAAGGAGAAGAAGAATAATATGAATCTTGAATGTTTTGATGATTGGAATGAAGTTCCTTACACAATATTCACTTTCTCTCTCTAGAATACACCTTGAGTTTCACACACTTAAGCTCCTCTAGTCGTACACTCTCACATCCTCTACCATCTAACACCTATATAGATATATATATAATATATATATATATATATATATCTATATATATATATATATATATATATATATATATAAAACATGGGCCGTGAATAGATTCACGGCTGTGAACCGTAAACACCCATCGGACCGTGAATACATTTAACCGCACACACCGCATGGACCAAAAACCCAATAGCCTAGAAAAGTAAAGTATAAACCATATTTTAGACCCAACATCAAATTTTATAAAAATATTAATATGTGCAAATCTATGATTAATGATTACTTTTGTGTATAAAGAAGTTTTTAAAATTTGTAAACAATTTGTAGAATTTATTTTTTATATAATATTGTTTTTATAATTAGTAAAACACATTTTATTCATCATTTGAATTTGTAATTTATTTTATTGTGTTCGTATAAGTTTCTTATATTATCTTAATTTTTTATTTGCATATAATAATGTCATTTTTATGATTCGTTGTGTTTGCTTCTTCTTTATTTTTCTTCTTCAGTCTATTCAGTTTTATATTCATTATACAAAATTATCATTTGTTTATTAATCTACACATAAAAAAACGTTGCTCCTATATTCAAACCATTTTACATATTAATTTGAACTAACCATTAAAGTTACCGAGAAAACATGATGACTACGCTTTTGAATTATCAATATTCTTTTACTTTATCTCCCGTGGATTCCACGGGTTGTATTATCCTAGTTAAAATATATAAGCGAAATTTTTGTATATAAGTTTAAACAAAATAAGTAGAAATGAAAATGCCTAAAGGAGCTTTATACTTGATTTCGGCTGGCTTCTTTTCATACCAAATTTACTAACATCTCCCTCCCATGAGAATTGCATGTAGTTAAAGAAAATCATCATTGATTGTCAATTAATGTGGACCAAATCGTTAGCATCGGTTTATTAATTTGCTGCAATGCTATGATGATGGACAAATAGGTAATTTTAGCCTATGAAATGTACAGAATTCCCTTAGGGATGAAAGTTCGTTGCTTAAAGCAGTTCAAAATGTGCATTCAGTGATTGACAAGGAGATAGCTACTGGAGTTGACCCTAAGAATGTGTTTATTTGCGGATTGAGTCAAGGTGGTCTCTCTCTCTCTCTCTCTCTCTCTCATGCACACGCACATAAAAGTGTGTGGTTTCTGTGTGTGTAAATAAAATGATACAAACATGTTAATTATGAACGTTGCAGGTGCGTTGACCTTGGGTAGTGTTCTTTTATATCCAAAAACTCTTGGTGGGGGTGTAGTCTTGAGCGGATGGGTTCCTTTCAGTTCAAATACTTGTTTAATACAACAGATCACACCAGATGCGAAAAAAGGGTATAAATATTTTTGCATTAATATGAGTTAGCACACAAACGTAAAGGAATGCATCTTATTTGCTTCAACTTAGAACAAATTAAAGAAACTGTGACTTGCTTCTTAGATTTCCATATAATATGACTCCCTCCCAAAAAAAAAAACACAGAATTAAAGCCACTACTCAAGAGTGGGGACAAGTTGCCCAATAAGAATCACAATAGGCCCGGAGACTAAAAATCAAATTTATTATTGAATAACAAGTGTTGATTAGGAATGTGAGAAATAGGCTGGCATTGATATGGTTGGTGATATTGAAAATGATTACTAACAAACTTAGATATTAATTCTTTGGTTATATATATGTGCAGACTCCGATATTGTGGTTTCATGGTATGGCTGACATGACAGTGTTGTTTGAAGCTGGACAAGCGGGCCCACCATTCCTTCAACGAGCAGGCATAAACTGTGAATTTAAGGTACTATATATATATATATATATATATATATATATATATATATATATATATTATATATATATATATATATATATGGGCTTAGGGAATATGTGGCTGTTATGTACCTAAGCTTATATATAGAACTCTCGAAGCTATGTCTTTTTTATCCATATATATCCAAGCTAATCATGATATCTCGTTTACTATTCTTCCTTAACCACGTAACATACTAAAATGATCGAATTTATGTTCTTTTTCTTCATTGTGTCTAAGAACTTAAAGCATTAAAAGTCATGACCATTTAATCAACCCAATTAAATTTTAAATAAAACTAATAGAATAAAAGATAAAAGAACAAAAATGCAATAACTCAATAAAGCTTTTCCACAAAATCATTGGATGTAGTTTCTCAATTGAAGGACAAAATGTTTGAGTTATGATCGTTAAAAAAATATTGATTTTTTTACTTTCCCTACAAACTTCAATAATTTTTTGCAATAAAAACATATCAAATTGATCTTTTTCATTCCATAATTTAACTTAGTTCAATGGTATTCTATTAAAACAAAGTTTAGAGAAAAAAAAATTGGATTTTTTTATTAAAACTACGTCGTTTAAATGTTTCTATATATATATATATATATATATATATATATATATATATATATATATATATATATATATATGCTTACTCTGAGAATAACAATAATAATAATGATATAATTTGCATCTGAAAATTGAACTACTGCCTTTTTGGGAAGTCGACAGGATTTCCCTTTTTGGAACATATTATATGCTCATAATGAGGGTGTAGATGTTCTTGATAACTTGATTTTGTTTCTGCAAGATTCTTTTTCTTGACAATATTGTTAAAGGGCATTTTAGGTATTATATAAATAGTCTTAAATTTTTATGCATAACCATGCATTAAACAACAGGTATATCCCGATCTTGGCCATTCAATAAGTGATGAGGAGCTTCAACACATGGAATCATGGATCATATCCCGTCTACAAAGTTCTGCCTGAAGGTTTGACTATCATTGACTTTTCAATTGTATACATCCCTATATAGATGCATAAAATTTTATAACCACATTATATTTGTAAATTTATTAAAAAACTTAACAATATGTATACATATAAGTTTATGTTGTATGCTTGTTAATAAATGTTATACCTTTTACAAAAAAAAAGGGATACATTATTGTTTTTGCTTATTAAAATTTGATGTATGCATCATACTCGATCGTTGTATTAAAAGCATCTCCATTGAAGTTTTTTTATTACTTGTTAGTATTTCATAACCACTCAATACCAGCTTGATAACATTTCCGTTTAACCCCCCTTACTTTATATTATATATTTAATCTTTATGATGTTTTCACTAATTAATCAAATATAGTAAATATGCAAAATAAAAATTAATATTTTTATAGAAAAATATTTTTAAAAAGTATTTTTTAAGTCGTCAAAACGACAAACATGTCATATAACTTAAAAACACAATGATGATTGTATTATTGCTATCGTTTTTTATTTTTATAACTATGTATTTTAGAAAAATAGCAAAAATATTAAATAATTCAAATATAAAATATTTAAATATAAATAATTTAAATATCATTTTTTTTAAATGATTTAAATATAAATAATTGAAAAATGATTGAAATGATGTTTATTAAAAATGATTTATATAAAAATAATTTAAATGTCGTTTTTTATTTTTATAATGACACACATGTCCTAATTTTTTTTAAACATAAATAATTTAAATTTTTTTCAACAAAACCTAAGAAAACTTTCATTATAATTAAAGTTAAATGTCAATGTTGAATAATTCTCTTGAACAAGCATAATATAAATCATTTCAAAACATCATTCAAATATGAAAGCGGAAGTCTTATAGTCATAACAATCTTAGAAAATCTTGTCGAGCGTGATACAGTCAAGCCGAATCTTTTAATTTCTGAAAAATGTTAATAAACAACAGGTAAGCGAAAACGCTTAGTAAGCACACAAAACTACAAATCTACTACATGTAACACGACACATAATGTGAATGCTATAGCCACGACTATAGTCTCACATCAAACTAGAAATACTATAGATTCATGTATAGTCTTGCTAGGAATGTTATAGACCCAAATATAGTCTTACATCAATTGGAAGTGTTATAGACCCGACTATAATCTTTTATGGAAATGATATGGACCCAATCATTGTCTTACATCTAACATACTAAGCATACATATCAACCATACACGTAATCACATACAAATGAAAGCACATGACATCATGTATAGAAAGTGAAACTCACCTGATCTTAAGAGAAACTGAAATCTCTACTGGAATGTGGACTATGAAGTAGCAACGCTCTCTACACATAGTTCTAGTAATCACTACTGGTTTCACATAATCCTTACTTAATAATACTTATAGAGTATTTATTTTAGTTCTTTACCGGTACAATAGTTTGTTCATGAACCGATTTACCCCTTTTATTCCCATTCTTTTAGTAAGATTTTTAGATACTATTATAATATACTCTCTTACTTTCAGGGATATAAAGTATACACTCTAATGATTTATCCGTATTTTTATACGGATTTTACAAGTTGACTATTGAGATCGGTAATCTTTCTAGACGAGGCTGTAGAGATTGCATTTATACCTTTACAAGGGTTTCAATCAGGTCATGAGATCCAAATATAAACTCAAGTAGACAGTCATACCTAACTACAGACCTTGACCTCATGTCTTTTTTGACTTCATGTCTTTTTTTATATTTCTAGAGCCAGATATGAATTTTACAAGTTGAGGTCCGATTGTAGCTATAATTGGTATAATTCGGTTGGTGGTTGGCAACTCTGAACATTTTGTAGTTTAACACCATTTTGGATTGGATTGAAATGTCATGGTCCTTAAGAGGACTGAATTACACACATATACATTTCTAATGTCTAAGAACTCAAGTCATTTGGACATTGCTATAATTTACTATGATTTTTCAAACATAGGGGTAGATTGTAGCGAAGTTGTAACCTTCACCCACAAGTGGTTTTCCTTGACAACTCATCATGTTTTTAAGTGAGAGATTTACCCACACTACTAGAAACCTTACCTTCAGCGACGGAATCAGCTACAGATTCATTATGTAGCTAATCAATGATGGCTTATTGAGAGATCAGCAACGGACACATAAATATATCGATCAAAATACTTATAGAGAAGTTCAGAGAGGTATCACAGAGGGATCAACGATGGAATGGTAAGAGTTTATCGACAAAAACAATTCTTCGCTATTCTGTCACAAATTAAAACCTTTTAGCAAGGAAACAACGATGGATTTCTAAAAATCACAGGCCTTTCTTTCTTGGCCCTCGCCAATCGCTCGCAGAAGATCAGACGCCTCCTTTTTTCATCCTCCGCTTTTCTTTATTTTTTCCTTCCCTCGTTTTATTTTCAGTCCCGCTTTTCTTTTTCGTTCCCTCGTTTTCTTCTCATTCCCTCCGATTTCTTCCCAAAACCCTAAACAATTTCCTCCCAAAGCCCTAATCGACCTTCTATCGACTCAAATCCCTCCTCCGCCCCAGAAATCACCTCCACCACCATCCACCTGCATCGCCCCTCTTGAAGACTGAATTATACTTGAAGACTCGTCGTTTCCCTGCCAATGCACTTCAATCTATTCGTTCATCCTTTGCTGCTTCAAATCATAAACTCGAGCAAATCTAAATTAGTCGTCATCAACTTCCAATTCTGGCTTCTAATAGTGTGTAAGTTGCATTTTCATGTAGCTCTCTTACTTTTCTTTTGTTTCTAGTTCATATCACCATTCGTTTTTCTAAGCTCTACCTTCCTTAACTCCTTAATTTTGTTTTTTCGTAGGGTTTTCATATTGGTTATCATATTGACTCCAATTTCTGCTGTCTAGATTATATAAATTAGCATACAGATTTTGTTTCTAGATTTGATCTGAAATCAATTTGGTACCGGGTGTAGGCATTTAATAAGGGGCTCAATTTCAAAACATCAGTAATCATGAGTTTCAGAATGTCTCGACCTATTGCTGGTATGTATTTTTGTTTTAATACTCTTGTCTTCTCTATTCCTATCTTCTTTGTAGGATCCATTTTGTCTTTTAGGTCAAGAATATAGCTATTGAGTTAGAAACACAAGACAGACATAGGAACAAGTGCTTTAAAATGGACATTGTGATGCCTATTTGTTCATAATTTATCAGTATTCATTCACAAAGTTTTGAATTTTCAATGGCATGTCGCTTAAAATTTTGGAAATGAATTTATAATTTTTCAACAAGTTTAGGGAAACCGACATTGAATACTCTGAGGAGAAGAAGTATAAGCTTTCCTTACCGCATGATGTTAAGGTCATAATTAACTACTTTTGAGTTTGTTGTTGGTTTATCGATTTATTATTTTGAACTACTGGTTTGATTAACAATGGGTGATATTTTGACATAATAAATGGTGAAAGAGATTTTTGAAGGCAATGGTAGTTTGATATTGAGAAGACAAAACATTTGTGGGCTAATATGATCAAATGGAGGAAGGATTATGGTAGACACAACCATGGACTGCTAAGATTTACCTTTTCAAAATGCAACATTTCTAAATACTCTGTACTTTTTACCTGGTTTATTGATTAGGGACTAAAAAACATGAACAAAAATGCTAGTGAACTTATCCAATGCCTCCAGAACATCGAAGGAAACAACTATCCTGAGGTACTTAGTTTCTAATAACATAAATATATACACATTATCCTCAATAGAATGTACGATTTTATGTTCAGATTTTACAATTGATTGGTATTTATTTTGTGGTGCCTTTTTTTCAACTAGACCTATTTAACGACTCTTTACAATTAAGAACTCATTTGTGTCCATCAAAAGTATAAACTGATGTGCCTTAGAATCATACACACCAAGAACATGGTTGATTTTCTTAGTTGAACTCATCAAAACTTTGCGTATAATAATTTCGTTGCTAATATTTTCTCTGCATGTTTTCAGTATGTTTTCATCTGACTAAAAAGGCGACACACTCTAGAGAGAAAAACATACAGTGATTCCTTTTAGGTTCTTTGATGAACAGTGTCTCAAATCCAAGATATTGCACTGATTCCTTTTCTTGGGAAACATCTTGTCACCTAATCCCAAATGGTTGAACAATAAAAAAAGGGTATGGAGGTGTCTGAACTCAAGAAACAGTTAGAAGTTGCCCGACAAAAGGGTATTACTGTTCGGGCATTGGTTGCAATTAATCCGGGCAACCCAACAGGGCTGGTAAAAAAATAAAAATGCCTCTTATTTACCATTTTAGTAAAAAATGGTTTAAATTACTTTTCACTCTTTTTGATACTTCACAGGTTCTTGCTGAAGAAAACCAACGACAAATTGTGGAAATTTTCAAGAAAGAAGGTTTGGTTCTTTTAGCAGATGAGGTAAAAAAAATAAAAAAATATCTTCAATATATTATTACTCAAGTTCAAAAGGGTAAATTGGACATTTTCCTAAATCAACTATTGCAGGTATACCAAGAGAATATCTATGCACCTGACAAGAAATTTAACTCATTCAAGAAAATCTGTCGTTCAATGGGATATGGTGACAAAGATATCCCCTTGGTTTCTTTTCAATCCGTATCTAAAGGTATATATAAAAGTGTAACACAGTAATTTTTCAAACAGATTTTTTTATTTCAAAATCACATACTTTTCATAACATATTGTATAGAAATCTCGTTTATTCAAATACAAGCACAACTCCATTAATAATCCAGGATCCTCAAAATACAACTCTTTCTCTAGTGTGTACAATCAAGCCGGTGCCGTCCCGCGATCCTGAGAAAACCTGAAACACATAACACATAACACTGTAAGCACAAAGCTTAGTGAGTTCCCCAAAATATCACATATAGCACATATTAGCCACTCGAGGCTATAACTCTGTGGGCCCACTGGCCCTAACTTTGTGGACCCTCTGGTCCTAACTCTGTGGACCCTCTGGTCCTAACTCTGTGGACCTTCCGGTCCTAACTTTGTAAACTCTGGAATACACACATCATAAATCACATAAAAATAATGCAGTGCAACACATCACATACATAGCATACAAAATACTCTGTCATATAACTCTACTTACCACTCAAGGTAAAGTATAGTGAGAAGACTCACCTGACCAGCAACAAGTAAAGACCCCGCTCCCGAATCTCGAACTAGCCTCCACCTAACACAATGGATAAATATCTCTAAGTGATACTCTAATCACAACTCTAATGACCGAAGGCTATTCTTCCTCTCTTTAACTCTTTGAAGTGGATAAAAGACCATTTTACCCCTCCATGGTCTCTACTACTTATGTTGGTCAAAGTCCCAAAGTTAACAGAAGTCAAACTCGAGTCAACACTCCATGTTTGACCCGACTCGCCGAGTGCACCCTTGCGACTCGTCGAGTCCACTTACTTTCCTCAGAAATCTCGTGACAGTCCAGCTCAGCTCGTCAAGTTGACCCCCAACTCGTCGAGCTGTCGCCTGATTCGGTTCCTCGGGACAAACCCTAACCAACTCGTCGAGTCGGCTCATCGACTCGGCGAGTTCATTCAGACCAAATGTTCATTCAGACGATTTAAGGCAGATCCATCACCCCAAACACTAGATCTACTATCCTGAGGGTCGAATGTCACGTAAAGCTGCAAGCTTTACGTTTAAACATGGCATATAAAGCTCATAATGCCAATATAACTCTAACAAGGATTATTAACCACAATAACTCTTCTATGGTTAACTAAAGCTATAATCTTTGGACTCTCTGGACCTCACAAGGTCCAGATCTGAAGTCTAGGCCTCATGAGAGACCTTATGCATACAAAGTCCCAACAATGGTGGAAGAAAACCCTAATCTTCCATATCTACAAGATCTAAGCAAAACAACAAGAAAGGTGCAAGCTTTTACCTCTTACTCAAGCCCTTGCACGAAGTTACACCAGATCCACTGATTCTCTAGCTCCCTTGATGGGTTGTCTCCTCTTCTCCTCAAGAGATGCACTAGTTTACTCCAAGTTTTAGCTTCTAAGACTCTCATGGCTCTCCATACACGTTTAGGGTTTGCTCTCAAGGAAGGGTAGCCGCAAATGAGGCTATAAGTTCCTTTAAATAGGTCTCAAACCCGGGAAATTAGGGTTTCTCTGCCCAAACACCTACTCGGCGAGTCCCTCCTCTGACTCGTTGAGTCTATTCATTAATTTCACGCGATTAACTCGACTCGACTCGGCGAGTTGGTCCCTCAACTCGTCGAGTCCCTCCTTAAATCTCAAGATTAACATACACGATAATGTCCCTGGAAATCCGGATGTTACAATTCTCCCCCACTTGAATTAGATTTCGCCCTCGAAATCGCTCCTCCACCACATATAGATCCAATTCATTAACCAAACAGCACCATCGAAAGGGTCTCATACCACACCACTTTCTTCCTCTCTGGACACCTGAATCCAAACAGGAATTCCTCCCTGGAAAAAGGACAGACCCATCTGCCACTATGCTACCCCTTCTGACTCTCAAGAATCTGGAACTCTAGTAGCCTGACACACAGCCAGACCGCCCTCTCCAGATGTCACCATGTTATTCGCTCCTCGAATATAGCTCACTGCCCCTCTGATTCTCTATTGGAACCGATAAAACAAGTCCATGCCCAAAACTGGCTACCGATCACTCGTCCCAGACATGATAAACAATCCAGATCATATACCAATGAATGGAAGGATCACATCACACCAGGGACTCATCCACTGTACTGCAATCACAACCCCTCTGAACAACGAACCCTCAACACCCTGTCCTCAGACACGAACAATGACTATGCTTGTTCAGAAGTGTCCTCCGACATCTGACAAGCATAAACCTCAGCTCCCTTCTCAATATCCATTTCAAGACTGAGCGCCAGGTCATCTCCCGACCTAGCAATTGAACCTCCAAAGGTTACCCATTGCGTGTATCAACACGCCTCACTCTTATCAATGCAACTATCTCGGCTCTGTGTGACACACGAGTCACGAAGTTCGCTTCACCTCAAGCGCGTACGGAATTCGACTCGCTCTCGACCTCTGTCGTCTACTACTCATTAGTTCCATGTGTTTCGCGGTTTTCTCATACCAACGAATTGACCCACTCCTGTTTAAGACACCAGATGGGACAATACCCCTTCCAAATGATGTGCATCTCTGAATCTGGAATTTCATTCCGTCTACTCAATACACCACTAGAATCGAACTCAACTCAAGAGTCTGATCCGGCACAGAATTGGAACCACTCGTCCCAACGAACCACTCAACTCATGACTCCTGACCCGCAACTCATGCGTAAACCGCTTCTCCAATTCCCTTGGGTTGCGACAACCACAACTCAATTCAGAGTATAACGTTTCCCGACAAATATAGAGACCTCCGTCTCTTTTCTGATCTGGCCCCCAGGCTCCCGAATACTCAACCCAAATAAGGCTACTCAAGCCTAAGAACTCTCCTGCGTCATGCTCTGATCAACAAATAATGCGGCTCCCTGCCGCACCGTGACGTCCTCTTACTGACTAGTGGGTACTACGTCTCCCCGCAGTATCACAACACCCTCTCGCTGACTAGTGAGTACTACGGCTCCCCGCAGTATCACAACACCCTCTCGCTGACTGGTGAGTACTACGGCTCCCCGCAGTATCACAACACCCTCTCGCTGACTGGTGAGTACTACGGCTCCCCGCGTTCACAACACCCTCTCGCTGACTAGTGAGTACTACGGCTCCCCGCAGTATCACAACAACCTTTCACTGAATAGTGAGTACTACGGCTCCCCGCAGTATCACAACACCCTCTCGCTGACTCATTGAAACTGTAGCTCCCTGCAGTCTTACCGCACTTACTCTTACCACTTCACAATCTCATCCTCAGGTTGACACCATACTGCGATCATTAACTCCTGCTCTGCGGCCTAGCATAGATAGGTACACACACACCCATCCGGGCTAAGCATCACTACTTTGGACGACCACCGTCGTGACAAAACCTCTTTTTCTCGCCGCAATTCACATTCTCAAATAAATCCATTTGATGTCAATTAGCTGAAGGGTCCCCCCGGGACCATAGACACTCGATACACCACTCGTCTTCTCAAACTCAAACTCAAAATAATCCAAGATTTTTGGACATTAAACTCGGATACCCCGGAATATCATCACAACGCCTCGCAGTGTCTTGGCTCTACCACTGATCTCATACTCATGGCATCATACTCAGATACCGTATTGCTTCCTCGGAACCTCGCAACCGGTCTTTCTCTCGTGCCACTTGTAACCCCTGAATACTCCATCTCCCAATTTAAAACACGGAGAAATTGTCAACGACTCAGAACACGAAGATGACAATCCGAAACTTCCTCCTCTATTGCTCAAAACTCATGCAAGAATACTCTTAACGACCCTGAAGTTGGTTTCCCAAACAACTTCTTCCCTTCCCATACTGCATATAATAGCCCATACTCTGATCCAGAAATTCTCAAACTGCCGAACTACCCTCACAAGCCAACCACCTCGAATTCACCATTTAACCTTGAAGGATTCCTAACCATCATAAGGTCTCCGACCAACGGCCATTTGCCGTAGAGACAGTCATCCTTTTTTAAACACGTACCACATGCACTATCTCACCCTGCACCTCGCCTTGACCACCAATAACCCTGGTCTCAGGAATCCGCACTGCAGGCCTCTTTATCCAGTTCTCTAACCGTTCTTGAACAAATCTCTGATCTCCTCAAAAGTACCCGGTCCTCCCCCACTCAGGGTTCGAACCATCACCAATTGGTTCGCCAACCATTTAGCCCACAGACTGTTTTTACCAATAACATCGCACCTACTCTTGGAAGGTGATACGCAATGCTTGATAATCCCCCCGATGGAGGTCGAGCAATTCCAAATACCCCGAATCTCCGATGAAATCCTCAGAAACTTCTCATCATGACTTCCTCTAGTCATTCAGAATCTCATACCGTCCCACTACCGGACATCTCAACTGTCCAGTCGCAACCCTGACTCTCAGTCTGAAATAACGAACTAACATTTTCCTCATCCTTGACTCTTTAACCAACATTCCATCACGTGGGTTGTAATAAGAGTGGAGTCCTCATTACCACACTTGATACTCATCATAGATAATAAGAGCCACCGCTCCAATATCCTCTTCTTGATTGTCTGCCGCTGCAGCCAATACATGCCCTACTATGCTAAAATAGGGTGTATCCTTGTCCTTAATCATCTCAGTCCCCGTTGACAGCCTGCTCATGCTCTAACATTACCTCTCGGCAGACATACTGCCCAAATACTCTGATGAAAGATCGTAACCAAAGCTACCCCACAGGGCTCACCCCCAACCTTGGAAACCGAAAATCTCAACACCCCTCCTGTTTCTCATAGGAACAGAAATAACACCGCTCAGGTCACAGAAAATGACATCTCCACCATCGGCTGATTGCTCAACTCATGCCGTAATCCTCTATAACCGCCATCTCTACTTATTCTTGAGTCTTGTGACTCCAATTGGCATTTCACCAACAATCCCTCAGAGCTAACTCGATTTCCCTTTTAAGGGATGCTTCACTAAAACTTGTTCATCATGGCCCTCTAGCCCCATACTCTTTCACCTCTGATCTCAGTCTAACCAATCACCACGGAATAACTGGTAGAACCAATAACACTAACTGCCACGGGTCATGGTACTCGAACCATGTGGCCACCTCTCGATCTGCTATGAATCATGGTACCCGAACCATGTTATCTCTTCTTAATCCGCTACGAATCATGGTACCTGAACCATGTTATCTCTTCTCAATCCGCTACAAATCATGGTATTCGAACCATGACATCACCTCTCAATCTGCTACAAATCATGGTACTCGAACCATGACATTACCTCTCGATCTGCTACAAATCATGGTACTCGAACCATGACATCACCTCTCGATCTGCTACAAATCATGGCACTCGAACCATGAAATCACCTCTCGATCTGCTGCTTAGATCCTCCGGAATGTTCCCTGTATCGAGTATGGGTCCTCTGCTTTCAGTAGTACGGGCCCATACTACCTGCCACATCTACCCATACTTTCTGCACAGACCATCCCCGAGTTCCTAAGTAGCTGCTCAACCTTCTCGATCACCAATCCTGTCATGTGTGTTCGCTCCTCTGCGAAATGCTCTACTCTGTCATCGTACTCATCTGATTAGGGTCACCCTTTCCTAGGCTCTTCCTAGGTTCTCACACTTCTCCGCCATCAGCTGCTGAAGAACTCCTTATGATGCCAGCCACCTACCTCCTGAATATCGTCATATTCACTTAGTAGATGACTCCCATCATCCAGAGTTCCACAAAGCACGAAGCAGAAGCAAGCAGCATTCGGGCATCGAATAACCTCTACCAACATGTAAAACCACTCTAGGTTATTACCCACTTGCTCTCCTCATACTCAAAAGATATCACCGAACTCAAGCAACTTTACCCCACGCGGGCATCTGACTACTCTCTCAGTAGGCTCCTCAAATGCTCATCTAGGTATCTCTTCTAGATTACTCCTCTACTCAGATCCCTCTCTAAAAGGATTCCTGTTGGATACTCATACTCAGCACATACTCGAGGCACATCACATATAACAGCAACTTCTAGGCTAAGGCATCACAAATCAGGCCACTCTAGTCCTAAAATATGAAATACCTAGCCTATCTCTAGCATGCATAGCATATCACATAGTATCTCATAACACATAATGTAAAGGTATTTTGGGAAATCACCGTTCGAGCGCTGGCTGATCGTACACACTGCTCCGTTCTGATTTTCTCAAAAATCTTTTACTCTTTTTAGAAAAATTGTTTCTTTTATGAAAAACTTCCTCAAATCCTCAGTTTGAGTTCAGATACGCCCGAAGGTGCATCCGAATCTCTCAAACCAAGGCTCTGATACCAACTTGTAACATCGTAATTTTTCAAACAAATTTTTTTATTTCAAAATCGCATACTTTTCATAACATATTGTATAGAAATCTCGTTTATTCAAATACAAGCACAACTCCATTAATAATCCAGGATCCTCAAAATACAACTCTTTCTCTGGTGTGTACAATCAAGCCGGTGCCGTCCCGCGATCCTGAGAAAACCTGAAACACATAACACATAACACTGTAAGCACAAAGCTTAGTGAGTTCCCCAAAATACCACATATAGCACATATTAGCCACTCGAGGCTATAACTCTGTGGGCCCACTGGCCCTAACTCTGTGGACCCTCCGGTCCTAACTCTGTGGACCCTCTGGTCCTAACTCTGTGGACCTTCCGGTCCTAACTCTGTAAACTCTGGAATACACACAACATAAATCACATAGAAATAATGCAGTGCAACACATCATATACATAGCATACAAAATACTCTGTCATATAACTCTACTTACCACTCAAGGTAAAGTATAGTGATAAGACTCACCTGACCAGCAGCAAGTAAATACCCCGCTCCCGAATCTCGAACTAGCCTCCACCTAACACAATGGATGAATATCTCTAAGTGATACTCTAATCACAACTCTAATGACCGAAGGCTATTCTTCCTCTCTTTAACTCTTTGAAGTGGATAAAAGACCATTTTACCCCTCCATGGTCTCTACTACTTATGTTGGTCAAAGTCCCAAAGTTAACAGAAGTCAAACTCGAGTCAACACTCCATGTTTGACCCGACTCGCCGAGTGCACCCTTGCGACTCGTCGAGTCCACTTACTTTCCTCAGAAATCCCGTGACAGTCCAGCTCAGCTCGTCAAGTTGACCCCCAACTCGTCGAGCTGTCGCCTGATTCGGTTCCTCGGGACAAACCCTAACCAACTCGTCGAGTCGGCTCATCGACTCGGCGAGTTCATTCAGACCAAATGTTCATTCAGACGATTTAAGGCAGATCCATCACCCCAAACACTAGATCTACTATCCTGAGGGTCGAATGTCACGTAAAGCTGCAAGCTTTACGTTTAAACATGACATATAAAGCTCATAATGCCAATATAACTCTAACAAGGATGATTAACCACAATAACTCTTCTATGGTTAACTAAAGCTATAATCTTTGGACTCTCTGGACCTCACAAGGTCCAGATCTGAAGTCTAGGCCTCATGAGAGACCTTATGCATACAAAGTCCCAACAATGGTGGAAGAAACCCTAATCTTCCATATCTACAAGATCTAAGCAAAACAACAAGAAAGGTGCAAGCTTTTACCTCTTACTCAAGCCCTTGCACGAAGTTACACCAGATCCACTGATTCTCTAGCTCCCTTGATGGGTGGTCTCCTCTTCTCCTCAAGAGATGCACTAGTTTACTCCAAGTTTTAGCTTCTAAGACTCTCATGGCTCTCCATACACGTTTAGGGTTTGCTCTCAAGGAAGGGTAGCCGCAAATGAGGCTATAAGTTCCTTTAAATAGGTCTCAAACCCAGGAAATTAGGGTTTCTCTGCCCAGCACCTACTCGGCGAGTCCCTCCTCTGACTCGTCGAGTCCATTCATTAATTTCACGCGATTAACTCGACTCGACTCGGCGAGTTGGTCCTTCAACTCGTCGAGTCCCTCCTTAAATCTCAAGATTAACATACACGATAATGTCCCTGGAAGTCTGGATGTTACAAAAAGATTAATGACGTAAATTCAAATTGTTGAATTTATATAAAAATCGTTTTTTTTAATGGTATCATGGTGAATGTGGGAAAAGAGGTGGTTACATGGAGGTAACTGTTAGTACTGAAGTTAGACAACATTTTTAGTGAGAGATGGAATCTTGAAATCATTGGCTCACGATTAGTACTTTTGCTTGCATGGGTGAGAATTGTGTTTTTTCTTTAATGTATTTTTCTTTTATAAAAACTGTTATATGACTCACGATTAATGCAGGAACAAAGAATGTGGGTAAGTTTAAGAACATTTTACACTATTTTTTGTATTCCCATGGTATTTTATTCATTGATCAGAAAGATGATTCATCCATGGATGACTGCTTTATTCATGGTCTTGACAGGAGAAGTGGGATCAACTTAATTCATAATGTTGTTTACAATTGTGGGTAAGTTTAAGCTATACATATTACATACTCTGTTACTTTTTTTACACATTAAGTTGATGTCTGAATTTGTTAATGCTTTGCAATTTTTTGTAGATCAAAACACATAAACTATAGTGGCTTATTGGAAAGGGTGATGAAATGATATGTGCTGCATCTGTCAGGTAGGGTAGGGTAGGCTGCTGCTTTACTTAACTTTAATAAAATTTGTCAATTTCTGACCTTAATTTTAATAAATTTTGTTTAGGATCCATGGTTCCCAACACAGTTAAATCCTTCTTTGTACCAAAGTCTACTGCCAATGTTCATGTAAGTTCTTTCCCTTTTTTTGACATAAAATATAACTCCACTTTTTTGTAAAAGATCGTTGAGTTGACTAGTCAATGACTCCATTTATATGTAGGTTTTGAGCATAAAATATCATAACCAGCTCCTCGAAATGATCGATGCCAGGTACTTGTTATGTTTTATGAAATAATCTATGATGAATATAAACTTTAAATAATATGTGCAGTTGTTCTGATAAATAAGGGTAGTTCTATAATTTCCTTCCTAATTAAAAATCTTACATTCATTTTTATAAATGCTAAATGTGCAGTCAGTTTTGGTGTGGTAGATGGTTCATAATGGTCAACACAAATGTTCAAAGGATCAAATCCCAGAAGAGAAGACAATTTCTGAACACCAGTTCCTAAACACAGTATTTTCTTTCACCAACATGTATTACCAATTACTATTTGGTCCGAATCGGAATTCAATTCCATTACAGTCCAACATTTGGTTTCAAATGAGTAGACACTAATCTCCTTTCTAGCAACAGAAAGGCTCTGCTTGCAACAAATGCTTCCAACAATGACCAAGTCGCCTTCCATTGCAGGAAAAAGTAATTGGTACTTGGTTCGCCTAGTTCAATGGAATTTAACAGGAATCGGAAATCCAATTCCATTCTGATCCTTCTTTCGGATGCAAGATATGAAGCAATGGAGAAGATTTATGCGGAAATGCAAAATATGAGAGGAAATTTAGAATTATCGTACATTATACTTTGAAATCAAATATCAATCAATACTTAACTTTGGTATTTTAATGTTAATGTTTGGTTTTTGATTGTATATTTATTTGATGTTTTTTGTATTTAAATGTTAACGTTTGGTTTGAAATTGTATAACTATGGTATTTTAATGTTATTTGATGTTTTTGGCAAAGAAGACTATGTGTGTAGGCTTCAGAAAAGTCTTTATGGGTTGAAGCAAGCACCAAGACAGTGGTACAAGAAATTTGAGTCAGTCATGGGTGAGCAAGGCTACCGCAAGACTACTTCAAATCACTGTGTTTTCTTCCAGAGGTTTGGTGATGATGATTTCATCATTTTGTTGCTTTATGTTGATGATATGTTGATTGTTGGCAAGAATGCAGAGAGAATTGTTCAGCTGAAGAAACAATTGAGCAAGTCTTTTGCTATGAAAGACTTGGGGCCGGCAAAACAGATTCTTGGCATTTGGATTACTAAAGATAGAGCTTCAAAGAAGTTGCATATGTCACAAGAGCAATACATTAAGAAGGTGCTTTGCAGATTCAACATGGATAAAGCTAAAGTGGTTAGTTCGCCTCTAACTACCAACTTTAAGCTAACTGATAGAGATTGCCCTTCTACTAAGAAGGAGATTGAAGAGATGGATAGAGTTCCATATGCATCAGCCGTTGGAAGTTTGATGTATGCAATGGTGTGTACAAGGCCAGATATTTCCCATAAAGTTGGTGTTGTTAGTCGGTTTCTGTCAAATCCGGGAAAGAAGCATTGGGAAGCAGTTAAGTGGATTTTCAGATATCTACATGGTACTTCCAAATTGGGTATAACATTTGGAAATGGAGCACCTATACTTGTTGGTTATACAGATTATGATATAGCAGGAAATAAGGACAACATGAAATCCACCTCTGGATATTTGATGACTTTTGCAGGGGAAGCTGTGTCATGGCAGTCAAGACTGCAAAAGTATGTTGCCCTGTCCACAACTGAGGCTGAGTATATGGTAGCAACAGAAGCATGCAAAGAGTTATTGTGGCTAAAAAGATTTATGCAAGAGCTTGGATTTATACAAAAACTCTACGTGGTTCTTTGTGATAATCAAAGTGCCATTCACCTTGCTAAGAATTCTATGTTTCACAAAAAAACAAAACATATCGATGTGAGGTATCATTGGATTAGAGATGCTCTTGAAGACAACTTGTTTGAACTTGAGAAAGTTCATACTGATGATAATGGTTCCGATATGTTGACTAAAGCTTTAGCAAGGGAGAAGTTGAAGATATGTTGCTCGATCGCCGGGATGACGAACTCTTCCTCATAGGCCAAAAAGGGGGAGATTTGTTGGGTTTTCTATTGAGTTTTTTAGCCCATGAGGAAAACCCACTTATTTGGCCCATGTATATATATGTGTTACATGCCCTAATTTCTAAAACACAAAAATTCTCAGCCACCAAGAGCAATAGAGAGAGCAAAAGAGAGAAATCAAGGGTTTCTTCAATTTCCGTTTTTCTGGACACACCTTCAGTGTTCCGTCGTTTTCCGGAGATCCAACGGTCCGATTTCTTTCATTTTTGTACAGCAGCTTCCCAACATCGAGGCCTTTACATCCAACGGTTGAATTATCGAGATCAGCTCCAGAGACTCAGGAATCGTCGCTTCTGTTTGCTGCTGGAAATCAGGAACGTTTTTGGTGATCTTCTTCTTTTCTCCTTGTTATTTGATTCCATATGCTTGATGTGATTTAGTTCCAAGTATATGATGATTATTGTATGCCTCCAGTACATCTAGAGAAGATTTTGTATTGCTCAAATATTGGTGATAGTGGATTTGAAGCGGCTCTAGTAGTCCCGTGGTTTTACTCAATGTTTTAAAAACCGGTTTGAACCGGCCGGTCGAACCTGTTGGACCGGGAACCGGAAGATGGAGCGGTTCAACTATCACCGGTTTTACATTGATTTCTGAACCGGATTGAACCAGCCGGTTTTTAAAAAAACCCGGTTGAACCGGTCAAAATAAACCGGTTGAACCGGTTAAACCGAATAAAAACACATGAAAAAGAACTATTTTACATAATAAACTTTGGTGATTTTTTTCAAATCTATTTAGTTTTCTCTAAATAAAAACATATGGTAAATGTTATAAAGTTTTTTGATGTGTTTGTATCCATCTAAAACTATATTTCGTTTCGGTATTATATTTTATTTTCTTTTTGACGTATATAGATTGATATAAACACTAAAACTTATGGTTATGTGTTATTCTAATGTATTTGGATTCATCTACAACGTATTTTTATGTGTATTTTTAATGTTTGAACTTGTAAATATCAAATTCATAATTTATATATGTATGTATGTGTAGGAAAATAGAAAAAAAAAACATGAAAACTATAGAAACCGGTTCACCCGGCGGTCGAACCGGTTAAACCGGTTGAACCGTGAACCGGTCACCATACCGGTTCAACTAAAAAACCGGTTTTTAAAACATTGGTTTTACTCTCTTTTCTTGAGAGGTTTCCACGCTAAAATTTTGGTGTCTCGTATTGATTGATTACTTACTGTTTTTTAGTTGATTATATTGATCATATAACTTGCATTGGGGCTGATTTGTTGCAAGTGAAATTATCCTATTTGTTTGCATCCTAAAAGGTTCATTCAAGACGGGAATAGTTTAGTCAAACGAAGTATTATTCCGCATTGTTATTTACCGTTGTGGTTGCGTTTTTCCCATCACTTCTCTCTCGGTTCTCCCCTTTATTTTGCCTCTCTAAACACACACACACACACAATAAGTTAGGGTTAAGTACGTCACTACAAGAAATACCAGCATTAGCGACGACATGTAATTGACGCGTTACATGTTGCCGCTAATAGCTTGTGTTGCCGCTAATACTGCTACAGTGTCGATACGCGTCAAATCAACCCTGTCCGTTCGATCTGCTTTTCATCCAACGGTGGGAAATGAGGAAAAAGGGCGCTGTATTTTCCCTCCAGGGGTGTCGCCACTAATAACGTATTGTCGCCGCTAAAACTCTAGCGTCGCCGCTAATACCCGTCGCCGTTGATACGCGTCGCAGATAACCCTCCCCCCCACCCACTTCGTCACTTTCCTGTTCGTTCTGCTTCCTTTCAATCCTCCGGCGATTACCGGCGACTGCACCACGTCACCTCGTCCGACGACCTCGTTTGCGCCACAGGACTCGTCTCCGGCAACCATTACCGTCGGCCACCAGTGGAGCTCCATTATTACCGGCGACCACACTCATTTCTGGCGACAAAAGTTCGATTTAAGGTCCGATTTCTCTCTTATTTTCTATTCAACTTCTGTTTTGGAGTTTTCCTTACTAGTTTTAAGTGTTTAATTAAAGGTTTTTAGAACCCCTGTCAGAAAATCTAGTTCTGTCGGATCTGTTGCCGAAATTGTTGCCGGAAAATTGGATTTCTTACCGGAAAATCTCTAAATTACACTAGCACAGGTTCTTTTTCATGACTTTTGAAATTATATATCTGATTTGTATTTTTTTGTGTGTTATTTGTATGGTTATTATTTGGAATTTGGAATTCTTATCGGAATTGTCGCCGAAATTGTTTTTATGTGTTATTTGTATGTGTATTATTTGTGTTGGTGTATGTGTATGAGTTTTGAAATTATATATGTGATTTGTATGTATGGAAAAAATGAAAAAAATTAGGTTGCTATAATAGAAAATAAGTATGATGCTATAATGAATATGTGTAGGAAAATGTTTATGTGTATTTGTATGTATAATGCGTGTATTTATGTATGTAATGTGTGAAACACAAAGTGTGTATATTACAAAGAGTAATTTTCAAATCAAATTTAATATTTATGTGGTATTTTAGTTTTAAAATTATTCATAATCATAAATTGTTTTGTAAAACTATTTAATTAAATTTTCTATTATTAATTTAGATATTAAATACAGTTATAAGAAATATAGTTATTCATAATCATAAATTGTTTTGTAACTAACTTTTATTCATCTTGTATTTGTATATTGTACATCTTTTAATTTTGCATGCTACATATGAGGTTTACGTGGGCGATATTCTTTGTTATGATGGCCGATGTTATGGGCCTTGGTCATGGAGGTGATGAAGCTGGGGATCCACCACCTCCAGGAGGCTTTGGTTGCAGGCAGCATGAACAGGATGGTAAGTTTTATTATGATATATTTATTAGCTATTTTCATTAATTTATTATAAGTTATCGTGACTAATATTTTTAATTGTATTTTTTCAGTCGAGCTTCCAAAGAAAATAAGGGGCTTGTCAAAGAATATAGAGCTAGGAAAGTGGATAAGGGCAAACAAGGGAAAGACCGTGGATTTGAATTTCGATAGGGAGATCACATATTCCCCTGTCAGGAAGCCTGCCAATTGGTTCACACATGAAATTGGGATGTACTTGTGGAACAACGTCCCTTTCAACGTATCTGGTTGGGACAATGTCCCCCCGCCCCCCTGTTAAGGAATGCGACAGTTGTGCATCTAAATGTAACTTGGATAATATTTTAAGTTTAGTTGTGATTGTTATTTAATTAACAAACTTTTTGTATTTGTGGAATAAGTTTGATTTGGATAAGGTTTACTTGGATCCGGAGCGTGCACAATTATTATGGAGCATTGATTCGAGTCTTGCAAAA